GCAATGAGCGGCTGGCGAGGCAGCCAGCGGAATGGTGGCTGGTGGGGTGGCCAGCTAGAGCAAGTGCTCAGATGGCAGAGCAAGCAAAGTGTCTTCTTCACTGGGTGGGAGGTGAACTCACGTAGATGCACCTCTGAACCCTGAGTCCTCACTGACCAAGGACAACCACTATGAGTGGGGTGTGATGAGGGAGCAGAGAGGGGCACAGAAAAGGAACTTTTGGTTGTAGAACTCAAGAACATGAAGCAGAAGACACAGCCCCATGCACTCTGGGGTGGGTGACCTGCTCACAGTTTTATGATTATGAATCCAGCTTGTGGCATTTTCCCTAATTAATGTCAGGTGACTTCCCTCCTTTCCTTAAAAGTTTCTTTTCTACACTCAGACTCTGTGCATGCGAGTGGGGAAGTACTGCCTCTCAGAGGTGCCCAGGGGTGGTGTGTAATTTTCCCAGGTTATTGGGGGGGGGCTTGAGCTGGTTCTGAGTTGTATCGTTGAAAAGGAATCCCTAGATATTGAACCCAGCCCTGGTTTGCCGGCTCCACCAGGCAGAAGGGCTACAACAGCAATGCGCTATATCAACCAGCAAGATCATCCCCACTCTGTCAGGAACCCATACTTCTATGGGAATGCTGCATTCTGCACCAGATCACACTGGTGGCTCTGCACCTTCCTGATCTTCAGAACACACTTAAAGTTGCATTTTTCAGGAACATAACTACAACGTTAAGTGAGGAGTTACTGTACAGTAATTGCAAAGTTCTTGGTTCAGGCTTGTAGCAGTGATGGAATAAACTTCTGGCTTAAGTCAAGTCTCTGGCTGCTCCCAAATCATTGGAGGGTCCTCAGTTCATTGGTTAGAATGTTCCCATTAGTATAAGTTCATAGTCCAGAGGCTGGAGCAGGATAGAGGCAAAATGAAGGGGATTCCAGGGCCTTTTATATCTTCTGCCATGTGGAGGGAAACCCATTGTTTTAAACAAAAACCTCAGCACAGCTAGTGGAAAATTACAGGTAAAAGATGGGAATTTGGAGTCAGATGGGCAAGTTACATGTTCGTGCCCAATTTCGCTCAGTCATTGCAGAAAGCCATTACCTATACTCCAGACAGCACGTTTACAGGACAGTCCACTCAGGGTAAATGAGTGTCTCCCATGGTCCATTGTGAGTTAAGTGTCCTTTTGATGGGCCACTCAATTTGAATAGTCCCTCCAAGATGTGCTGGATAACTACTTTGTTAGTTACCCCAGGAGCAAACATTTGAAATACAGGTATAGAGCCAATACTCATAACTTCAAATACAAAAATGATACATGTATACAGATAGCATAATCATAACAAGCAAATCATAACCTTTTCATAGACATCTTACATGCCACATTTTGTACAAGATATGTTGCAAATATATAATAGTGGTTGCAACAATGATCTATATAGTCATATTTTAATCAGATAACATCACAATCCACTATAGGCTTGTTCTTAAGTTTAGACGGTAGCCTTCTTCCCTCTTTGGTCTTTTGCTCTTGTTGTGAGTAGTGCAGAAATCATGCTCTTCCCTTGATGTGAGACTATTTTTTCTTCATAAAGTTAAAGGATATCCTGTTATACCCGAAGTGCGGGGGGAGGGGGAGAGTGAGTAATGAGGCCACCCCCTTGTAAACCTGCTGGACTTAGGTCCTATTTCAGTTGAGATAAGAGTTACATATTTTTAAGTGATTCTTGATCAATTTTGATCACTTTATTCCTTTTTCTCTGTCTGTTCCCCACATCATATTTATTTTTTTCTTTTCCTGGTCTGCCTTATCCTCTATCCTCCTCCCCCCCCCCCCACCCCACCCCCGATGTCCCTGGGGTGATGAAGGGAACCCAGATATACCTTTCCTAGACCTGGAATTAATAATGGCCCAAGCAATGACACTGTCCAGGTGCCTGACAAAACAATATATTTGATCTAAGCACTCTTTATGGCTAATATTACAAATTGTGTTTCCTGGACCACCACTCAATAAAGAGAAAAAGAATTATCACTCATCTAAAAATACTGAAAGCAGATATTAACTTCCTACAGGAAACCCCACTTAATGACTCAGAGGCAGAGAAATTTAAGAGGGGCTGGATGGGGTAGAGGGGTTTAACAATTTCTCCTCTGCAGCCAAAGGTGTAGTAGTGCTATTATTTAACAAAAGACTCAATTTTCAAATTCTAGCTGTAAATGAAAGAGGCGGAAGATAGGTGGTGGGTGTTGTGGTTGTTTTTTTATTTTGTTTGTTTTTTTTGCTGATGAAGGCTAATATCTCTGACTCAATATATACATACCCTAATTACTATGTATAGACCTGTGATGGGGTGTTCACCCCCACACAAGGCAGAGCAGGTTAAAGTAGGTTTAATTAACCTGAAAGGATACACCTGGGGGAGAGCCAGCGCTTGAGAGGCTGATTGCAGATGGAGCCCAGCTGAGAAGAAACAGATGGGGCTGGTATAAAGCCAGGAAGGTAGCAGCACAAAAAGGCTTCAGGGGAAGTAATTTGCAGTTATTCTATGGAAAAAAAAAAAAAAAAAAAAAAAAAAAAAAAAAAAGAGAGGTGGGGGAGGGGTCTACAGAGTTTAAGTAGTCTGCAATCACTCCCTGGCAAGAGGGAGTTTAAGCTAGTTAACCCAGGGAAGGGGGAGCTGGAACCCATAGGAAGGAGACCAAGGAAAGAACAATGGGGTCTGAGAGAAAGCAGACCCCAGTTGCTATGTATAGGGTCCCTGAACTGGAATCTGGAGTAGAGGAAGGGGCCTGGGCTCCCCTACCACACAATGGAGCAGTCTGGAGTAGAGGAAGGGGCCTGGGACAGTCATCCAATGGGACTTCGATATCCTGAAAAGGGAGGATTATAGTGACTTGGCGGAAGGGCCAAGCAACAAAGAGAGCACCCTGAGTTCTAGAGAGAGAGAGGGGCAACAGGGCACATGAACAAGTGACAGAAGGGGGAGTCAGACCTAGAAGGAGCAAATTCTCATAGCAGCAGGAGGGGGTGCCCTAGTGGTGAGTAAACCCCATGATGGGACCCTATAAAGATGATCCAATTTTTTTAAAATATTTTTTTCCAGATTAAGTAATATCCCAGATTAATAACAGCATAGCAGGATACTTTAATGAGGTGTTGGACCCTTTTTTAGACAAACCAGGCCAGCCACAATCTATACAATCACATGCTAGAAACATGATAAAAGATGATATGGAAGAACTGGGGTTAAAAGGTGTATGGTGAATGCAGAACCCTACAATGATTTTTTTTCCCTCCCCACATTCTACTTGCTCACAAATAGATTTCTTCCTCATTTCTACGAATCTATTGGGTTCAGTATTTAATAATGAAATCAGGTCTATCATGATATCTGAGAATGCACCCGAGATATTACATTTTCCCTTCCTGAGACAAATGGGACTTGTGAAAGGTGGAGACTGAACTCCTCTTCTGAAAGATAAACACTTTCAGAACTATGTTGCAGAAGAAATGTTTTTTTTCTTCAAAACAAATGATGCATCAGGAATATCCCAGATCATCCAATAGGATATACTAACTTTTTTTTTTTTTTAAGGAATAGGATCATTTCTGATGTCAGTGGGTAGGAAGAGGGCTAGCCATGCTTGGCTCCTGGAATTAACTGAACAACTTAAAGTTAAGGATTTAGAATGTAAAAACTACCCCTCTTCTCCCCCCCACCCACCACCAAAAAAAACCTTTAAAAAATGAATTAATCATCAGTATAGAGTGAACAAAGTGACTTCAGCACAAGCTGAATTTGCTCTTTTTAGACTCAAACATACTGGGAGTTGAGGGGGAGAGAGAGTGGGAAAAGTTCTCTCATACTGATTAAAAGCGAGAGGTCAAAGGTTTCAAATAGTATAACTCCAATCTGAACAAAGGCAGGTTATTACTAATCAGAAAGAGATCAGTGATCTTTTTTTTTTGAAATTCTAAAGGGCTCTTTACACTATTATTCATCACCTGTCCCAGAACAACTGAATAATTTTGTTAAAACTCTTAATCTCCC